CAATTATGTTAAAAAAATCCTTTTTAAAGTAAAAATCTTGAGTTCTCAACGATGAGTGAAATCAAATCTAATTAACTTAAAAATTTAACTATGAGATTCTTATTAACTAGATTTTTTAAGCAAAATAATTTCTTAACCAAACAATGTCTAAATTGGTTATATCGTAATCACCTAAAAAATTCACATTAATTCTCCTATAAATAAAAAAATCATCCAAACTTGTGATTCAATCATACAATCAAATTCTAACAAGTATTTTCAAGTTATCCATAATTAATTATCCAAATTTCAAGCACTAATTGACTCTAAAAATTGAAATCACTCTGTCTTGCTTGACAATCAATCTTAATATATCCATATATAAAAATTCAACCTTATTTAATAAATTAAATTGATTAAATTTAAGTACTTACTTACTTTAATAATTTTGTAATTCCCAAAGTGGAACTCGTAACTTGCTCTGAACCTTGATCTTTAAACTTACTCTGCTTCTTTCAATATTCTCATTATTAAAAAGCTCTTATCACATGGAATATTTTTGGCAAAGGGAGTTTTGTAATTGGAAGTAATTATGAGCATTAAATCAAGTTCAAAATCACTGAGTTCCTCCATTAATGGTGGATGCTCACTCACCCTCAGGAATAGAAGATGAAGGAGGGAGTAAAAATAAAGCTGCATGCTATATTAATTGATTTGGCTTGTCTCCACTATCCTTTCTTTTCATTTCCTCCCCACTATCTTAAAATAAAATATGGACCATCCAGATTTAGTGCAGATTAAATATAGATGATCTAGATTTAAAGTTTTTGGTTTTTATTTATATCTATTAAATATTAAATTTATTTTATCACCAATCAAAACAATCCAAATTTAATTTGAAGGATCCAAAAATTATAATTATAAAATATAAATATAAATAAAAAATAAAAACTTTAAATTTGAATTATCCAGAATAATCTGCATCAAATTTAAATGATCTAAATTTTATTTTAAAATAGTAAAAGAAAAATAAAGAGGAAAGGTAATAGAGACAAGCCAGGTCCTATATTAATATGGGTTGTGAGACCCATTTTTCGCCTCCCTCTCCCTCTCCCACTCTCTTCCAAGATAAATTGTCCAGACGGTAATTCCAAATACAACCCAATCCTCATCTTCTTCTTTATTTTTTTTTTTAACAATTCCTAGTTATTCATAGTTTTAATATGTTTCATCTATAATTATTTTTACTTAGTTAATATTTTGACCTTAAAAATCCTCAAATTCTATTATAATTTATCTATAAATAACTAAAGTTCTTTAAAATTAAAAGGAGAAAAATTTAGATTTTGCATTTTACTCAACTAAGTATTTTTTTTATCATCATAATTATAATATCTTAAGTGGAAGAATGTAATTTGAATTATCTTATTTAATATCACTCATTGTTATTAATATTTTCCCTCTTTTTTTAATAAGAATCATGGCTTGGCACTAATCTTTGGAATTTAATTATTCTTAGATAAAATTTCTTTCCTCAAATAATTATCTAATAAATTCCAGTTACTTTAAAATAAGCCTATCAAATTCAAATCAATATTAATAGGTATTTACAACTTTTAATTTCTACTCAATAAATCAATTTCTAATATTTAAATTTTATTGTCAAATTTAGGCTACTACACCACACACGTAAGCACACATCACACCCGCCACACATAAGAACACATCACACCCCACACACACCCAATATAATTTTCCTCCCTTGACCACTTGGGAATTTGATTGAAGGATCCTTGCATCGAGGGGAAAAGATCATGTCAATTAAGCTCCAAGCTGTTGGCTTGCTCTTTGATTCTTAAAACCATATACGTGCAAAAAAACATTAAAGGGAAAAGGAAACAAAAAAAAGCAGAAAAGTGGAACAAACAAATGGTTCCACATCGTCTATTTTTGTCATAAGGAATGTTGGAATCTTTCTTGGATTAAGAGGCAAAAATGTCTTGAAAATGTTCTGAAAAGAGCATTGAATATCTTTACTCTTTAGTTGGAGCAATTTTATCTCCAAAACTTTAAAAAAGATAGCAATTTTGCTCCACTGTTATCTCAAGTTTTTATTGGTTGATTGTTGAACAAGGTTGTTTGACCAAGCAAAATAATAGGTGGCCACACGTGGATAACATGTCAAACCCAACTTATATACCTATTCATTTTCCCATTTTCCATGTGCAATCAGTCGACCCCTCTCCACATTTCTCAAGCCATCATCTCCTCCTCCCAACCTACCGTCTAGATTCTCCGCCCACATTGACATGAACTCGTGTGCCAACGCTTGCCAAAGAACTTCAAAGATAGGAAGACGTTAACATCTACTGGGCAAGACATTAGGACCGACATTATTAGATGAAGAAGTTGGAATCGGAGGAGGAGAGGCGAGAAGAGCTGGCAGCTTCTGATTGGACGATTTCGGCAGCAGTGGAATGGCAGAAGGCATACAAGACGAGGAAGACACCGGGATTGAAGCTTGAGAGGGACTGGGAGGTCTGGCAGGGAGAACCATGGTGGGGTCAGATTGGACGCTAGCACGAATGAGGTTCTTGATCTCGTCAATGTCGGATTGGGACGATTGGTTCAGAGGTATGGTATCGCCGTGTGACATTTTCTCGAGTCCTCGGGAAGAGGGATTCTGGGGCAAGGAATTTCAGAGACAAAGAAGATGATGAGAGATTAGAAAGAGACAGTGGATAGTCAGAATGCAGAGACAATGAAATTGTGAAGAAGGAGCGAAATAGCGGAGTTGAGAAACATGAAAATGGTTGCAAGGCAGGTAAGAGGTAATGGAAGTGCATTTTTAGATGCAAGAATCTTTGTAATATCACGCTGTGTCGAAACCTTGTACTTTTTATTTGCATTTAGACATTTCATGATGATTTCCCCCCTTTAAATAGGTGGTTCTGAACTTCTGATTAAAGTTCAGTTGATGATTCCGATAAATTTCTATATATGATCTTTACTGGTAATAATGCAATATGAAATGGTTTAAAAGGGTTCTAATTAGTTCTAGTCATTTCTATCCATTTAGAGGGATTATGGTCTGAAGACTTCGACCAATGTGTCAGAATTAGACGAAGATGGAAGCACGAAGATGGGAAGGTCTAGTGAGGAAGGCAAATTGGGGTCAAATGAAATAATGAATAGCAGACACTTGGAAGTGTTTTTTTTTTTTAATGTCAGGCGACTGCCACTTGACAAATAAGAGTCAAACTAACAGTCACACTAATGGTAAGAAAAAATTGTTCTTTTAAAATTTTTGGATAAAATTGCTCCAATTAAGATAATGATACTTAATGTTCTTTTTAAATTTTGAAAACATTTTTATCCCTTAATCCATCTTTATTTACCTTTACCACAATAAATTTTTATGAGTTAGAACAGTTGAGTATTGACTTGAAGCGAAAACTCTTAAGGGTCACTTTTTTTTTTTTGTTTTTTAATCTGACCCAAAATAGCTAGTTTTTACTAGAATTTTTAGAGCACTGACTTAACTTCATGCCTTTATTATTATTATTATTATTATTTTGTAGAGAGTTAACTTCATTTTTTTTAATAAATTAGGGGGCAGACACTAACAAGATAAAATTACACGCAGATCAAACTTGTACGCTCTCATATACATATAGAGCTTATATATCACTAGATTTTAAGGCCAATGGCAAATTTAACTCCATGTCGGACGACCTAAGTTGATTATATTTGGATTGACTGATTTAGTCAACTATAACTGCTTGGATTAATTTTTAATTAATTTCTAACTTTTCGATCGTGGAAAACAAATTTTAAATAATCGTTTCTCGAGAAAACATCTATTCGAGAGTCTCCTGTTTCTTCAATATTGAGTCCTCTGATCATTATTGCTTCTTCACCTCTTCAATGACATAAGATACATGCTCCCTCCATTTTAAATTAAAAAATACTTTTAAAAAAAATTTAACTTCTCAAAATATAAAACACTCTAATAAAAAAATTTAATTAATGATAATTTTTTAATATCATCCTTTCTATATATTTTCTCTTTTCAATATTCTTTTATCAATAAAAATTAAATGAAAAATATTTTTAAAAATTTATATTTTTGTCTTAAAAAAGTAAGGTTGTAAGATGTATTTAATAAATTTTATTAATATATAAAATTTTATTTAAAAGTATTTTATAATTTAAGACATAAAAGATATCATGTTTGTCGATCAACTCTTCACCATGCTTATGCATTCTTTACATCTATCTAAAAATTTACGGGTATGTTTGGTTCAAGGAAAAAAAAGAAAAGGAAGGGGAGCTCCCCTCCCAATTTGGAGGAGAGGTTTTGGAGGAGAGGGGAGAAATAATTTTAAAAATTTTTCTTCTCCTCCTCTTTCCCCCAACCAAACACACTTTAATGCCGGAAAATCGATTAATTGAAAATCAACAGAAATTTTATAGCTATATACGTATATATAGATAGATAGAAAGAAAGATTTTTTTTGTCACGCATCTACTTCCAAGTATTTTTCTCTTGTTTTGAGGCATCTCCTTGCTAGATGGTTCCTAGAGTCGTAGAGGAGATGAACTCTAATGACGACATTTAGACAGGGGGAAAATAAAGAGAAGAAATTTTCAATTCACGTAATATTGGCTCACTTTTTGTCTTGTCGGATGCAGCTGAAATTTCCCGGTGTGGACGCATCCAGAAGTTTCTGGCATCACCATTTCTCCTTCTTTTTTGCTTGAGTTTATTGGCTCACCCCTGTAACCTGTTCATGTCGATCAAGTCACTCGCTACAGACAAACAAGTTATCAGGAATCGTTATCCCAAGGCTATTACAGTAAATATGGTCATGACCATCTCAAGACAGAGCATAATGTGCTAGATTATAATTCAGGAATATAATAGTGCTCGGAAACTTTATGAATATGCAATTCTTGTAAGCTCAGAGATTAGAGTAATATGTCTCTTTTGTCATATTGCACTGAACAGAAAATTCAGATTGGGACGAAACTAAAATTTGTTCAGAATATGATATTTACAAAGGAGATGGAGAAGGACGGGAAATCAAAAAAATATTACTGGACTCAAGTCATTGATACGCTGTTTTCTACCTACGAGGCTACGATCATCATCTTGAAGAAAGCCACATATAAGAGTTGATAGAAAGGCCAGATTTTTGAATGTCTCGCGAAACAGAGATGTGACTCGTGAGGGTTCCTCAACCCGAGATGGAGGAGAAGCAACTTTCCGACCGAACCAGAGGTGAACTTCGAGCTTGATCATGAACCACCGGCAGAGTGAAGCTGGATGAGTTTGATCGGAGATGTCTAGGGGAATCCAAGCTCCGGCGAAGAACCCGACCCATGGCGAATATTGGGTGCTCGGTTTCACGGAGACCACCGGGAGAAGATCGGAACTGGGAGCAGATCCTGATATGGCGGTCGAGAGCTTCGTCTAGAGTGATGAGGCGGTCTGATCTTAAAACCTCGACCTTCACAGCCTCCACGCATAAACCACAAAGCCACCGACCTTGAAATCGCTGACGAACATGAGAGATGTAAGCAGGAGTGCAATCCTCCGAGAATCCACATGAATCACATTTGACGCTCTCCACCTCCACTTGAGGTTCTTTCGTTGTTTCACTCCGTGTCTGATTCTCTGTCTCAGACCCAGACATTGCCATCTATCTCTCTTCCCCACCTGTTCCCTCTCTCTCTCTCCCCCCTCTATAAGGTTGTCCTGTGAGTGTTTTTTTGGCCGCAGGGGTTGTCATGTGTTAATAATAAACGAATGCTTCAAGATTTTGAAAATTTTAAACTTTTTTTTCCTTTTGTCGCCGGAATGCCATTGTGATTGCAATGACTAATGGTTATGAAGGGATTATTAAATTAAATAGGATTAAAAGCATCGTTTTGCTGACTTGCTTCAGAGCTCACACGTCACATAGTGGAAAAAAAAAATGAATATGACAACCTGGAAAAATGTCGACATAGGCTGGTAAAATTACCTAATGATGAGCTTTCACATTCTTCCCTCAGGTCTCTACACGTTTTTGACCCACCAATGATGAATTGGTGATCATCAATCAAAGGAAACACGTTAATTCACAGAAGGGAAAGAAAAAAACAGAGAGAGACTGATTTGTTTTAGCAGCACTTTGTGACTTCCTTTTTATATAATATAATTATATATGCACGAGATTTTCTTCCATCTTAAAAATGTGACCATCTAGTTCATTTTAGCGTTAACCTAATAATTTGCTAAACTCCAAATTAATGATCAATTGGATACAAAGAGCTTATTCTCAATAATATTCTTAACGAACCTAAAATTACAGACAACAAGGACTTTTTCTGTACATAAAATAAAGGATATATTGTTAAAGAAAGAGGACATGCATGGTTGATAATTAATCTAGGAAAAATTATATGCAAATCTCATATAAAAAAATTAATTATTATAAAATTTATTAACAATTAAATTAAGACTATTGACAATGGATCATGTAACAATTAATTTTTTTGTGTGAAATTTTAATATAATTTTCAATTTAATTTAAACAAAAATATAAAAGTTTCATGAATTTCATCTCCCGCCAACACTTATGAGTTAGGGAAGTTGCAGGGATATATGTAGGAGTGCACTTGAGCGTTCATCTATAGTGCTCATCAAGATAATGAGATCCAGATCATTTGAATTTTAATTTGAATGTTTGAAATTTAATAAAAGATTTTATGTTTATTAAAATAAAAAAGTTCAAAATTATTAAATTTTTTATTATCAATATGGTTTAGATTTAATTTTGAGGGTTCGATTTAATATTAAATTTTTATATATTGACTAATCAGATGTATTTTGCATAGTCAAGATTTAATAAAATATAAAATAATTTTTTTAAAAATATTACAATTAAAAGTTTTAAGTTTGAATTATGTAGAGTGTATCTGGATAGTCAATATATAAAATTTTTAATATTAATTTAAACTCTTTAAATTAAATCTAAACTTGATTGATAATAAAAATATTTATTACAATTTTTTATAATTTTTATAAGTTTATATTTTAATCAATATAAAAAATCCATTAAATTTGGACCATTTATGTTAAAACCTATATTATCCAAATCTTATCACTTTGATGAGCACCCAGGATGAATTCGACACTTGAGGGGTGTCTCAAAGAGACTAGCTTGATTTTGTGTATTGCCTACGAGCCTAAGTTAAAATTTTAAATTTGATTCTAGCCATAAGTTAAATGACAAACCCTATCTCGTTAGATACATGGACTAGACTAGATTAATGTGTTTTGATAAGATATATTATTTATCAAAAGGTCATAATCAATAATTTCTTTGAATGCGTTTAATCAATGGCAAAACCACTTGATATTCAAGGAGGACAAAATCACTGTCATTCAAAACACCCTACATATTTTTACATGTATAAACATTTTATTTGTTACTTGTATATAAACTATATATATATATATATTTATTTATATTTGTTCACATATTCCTTACTGTCCATTTTATTTATAAGTTATTTTTTTCTAATTTTATAGAATTGGATAAAAAATAGTTAAATTATTGGTATTACTTAAAAAAGAAATAGAATTTTGAGTTCACACTTATCAAAATGTAAGAAAAATTACATTTAGATCTCCCATAAGAGATAATTTATTATCAAGAGATCCCATAAAATTTACAAAATATACTTAAATCCCAAATCCATTATTTTAAATATATTTTATGTTAAATTATCAAAATACCCTTATATAACTTTTTTTATTAAAAACAAGCTCCTTGTTGCTGGTCGTCTCGCAATCCTTGTCACTGGTGGGCTAGCCACCGGAGCACCTATTGACAATCGAAGTTTCAGCACTAAAAAGAAATAATTTTGGAAAAGGTGGTTTTGGGAGGATTAGAACCCAAGACCACATGTCCCTAAAATATATGCAAACCACTAGGCTATTAAAGCCTTCTATTTTATATTTGCAAAAAACTATACATATATTAAACTTAGGGAGAGAATGTTAGTGAAACAAAATTTAGTAGTCAATGATATTTAAGATGCTTGTTATTCATGCATGGTAACTTGTTAATAGAGAATGTATAAAATTAATAGTCAATAATGTTTAAGGTAGTTGGTTTTTATGCTGGTTGACTTGTCAATGATGCACATTTACTTATCATTGACAAGTCACCATGCGTGACTAACAAGTACATTATACATTATTGACTACTAAAGGTGTATATTTTTCATTAACAAATTATCCAGCATGAATAAAAACTACCTCAAACATTGTTGACTACTAATTTTGCATATCTCCATTGAAAAGTTACCATGCACGAATAACAAGTACCTTAAATATCATTAACTACTAGATTTTATTTCACTAATATTCTATCCACAAATTTAATATATGTATAATTTTGTGCATATATATAACAAAAGGCTTTAATACCCTAGTGATTTACATTCCTTTTAGGAACATGTGGCCTTGAGTTTTAATACTCCTAAGACCACCTTTTCTAAAATTATTTCTTTTTCAGCGCCAGAGCTCTGGCCGTTGATGGGCACTTCAGTGGCAGACCCATCAATGATGGGGACTACCCAGAGCTCTAGTGAGTGGTAGTAGGTCAAAGCTCTAGCGACTGGTGGTGGGGAGCTTGTTTAATAAAAAAGTAATACAAGGGTATTTTAATAATTTAACATAAAATATATTTAAAATAATGAATTTGGAACTTAGGTGTATTTTGTGAATTTTAAGGGACCTCTTGGTAATAAATTTTCTTTTGTGGGACCTAAATGTAATGTTCCCTTAAATGTATCATCTTTAAAAAATAATTTCTCTCTTATGTGTAGATTTAGATTTAGTGAGTAGCTTCTTTAATATCCTCCCTCACAAATTATGATTAACTCCAAATCTTCATAATTAAGAGATTAGCCCAAAGTAAAAGACATATTTACTCGGTTCACAACTAAGTTGAAAAGATGGGATCCTAAGTTTTTAAAAACTAAAACCATTTTAAAAGGTTTTGTAATTGACAAATCAGGGTTAATAACTATACGGAAGCATGAGATTATTTAAAGGATTAGTGCATTTGCTTGAAGTCAGAAAATAATGCAATTATGTAGTTTTCAGGGGCATGTGTTGTGGCTTGTTCATCTCTATGCCATGAGCCGTGGCGCATTGCAAGTTCTATAACAACAAAATTCTATTGTCAATTTGATTGCTTTTAAGGCTACTTTCGATGAGCCTTATTTTTTCATCCGACTAATGCGAATTAGGTGTTTATGAACAATTTTTTAAGTTCTAACTAATGGCTTGGATTTCATACTCAAATTATTACTCAATCAAAAATTGAACACTTATTCCAAAACTTACACTTTTTCATTATTTTTCATAAAACAAAGTATCCACAACACATCCCTTAAGCCAAAAGCCCTAGACAGTCCTGAAATCACATATAATAAATCAAAACTAACTTGTGCGATGCACCATATCATACAAAATATTTATAAATTATATTTTTAATGCTCAACCCTTAAATCTCAAAAATAAGAGGAGGAATTAAAATTATCAATTCTATCATACCATCCATAACAGTCACATGAAATAATCAATTCTTACTTACACTAGTATTTTAGCCTTCCTATATCATAAATCACATACATACCCCTTAGGGCTTAAAATATACTTTACCCTTCACAAAACAAATGATGCAAGTAAGTTTCAAATGGAAATATTCTTAGTTGGCAATGTCAATAATCATATACACATAAATACTCAAAATGAAAGAGGCCTACTAATTGGATGACAATCTTATGCCTTAAGCTGTTTTTCTCTATTTGATTCTCTTGAACTATTTATTGTAATATTGAAGATAATAGGATGAGTATAATCACTTAGTAATTAAGGTTCAACTAACCCATACTAGTGCATTTTAATTAATTCTAAATGCAAGCGGCAAGTTATAATTTAATTTTCACAACATGTAACACATTTAAGGACATAAATCCACATTTTCAAGCACAATAGCACATCCTCATGAAATGATGCTTTATAACAACTTATATATAGGAAAAGAATTAGTCACATGATTAATTGACATGTTCTCATAAGGAATTGAAGCTAAATTAACCATTTTCATCATTAGGGACACGATATAGAAAACCATGTGCTCCTTTTCACTAAATGTATAATCACACCTCCCTTATATCCTCCTTATTTATCTGACACAAAATCGTAGGCTATAATACATTAAAATAATCTATGATATGGGACTTCCTTAACCTAAACAAGTGTTAGGGGTTACTCGATCAATCTTTTCTTTACTCAATTGTGGAACACGGTTTCCCTTATCTTCTCACACTATAGGGTGTCATTCTCCCTAGATTAGCTTTCTCGTTGAACCAGTAGATAGCTAGTTAGGTTCGATTAAACTAGTAAGATAATCTTTTGTTGAACAAGTAGGACAATATATATAAATAACAATCCAAGAAAATCATTTGCTCAAATGAGAGCCTTACCACATGGATTTAAATCTCTACTCTTCTATTTAGACGAACTCCCACCTCTCAAAATCATGTAATACATAGATATGTACCATTTCAAGCATACATTCACTCATCATTATACCCAATCATATATACATGACAATCACATAATACACACCTAACCAATTCATTGAACTCTACTTATCTATTTCATCGAACTTCTCATTCATAAATTTATTGAACTCCTCAACCTCATGTTTCATTAAACTTACAATTTCAATTTTATTGTACTATTTACATATCAAGTCCTTAACTCCACTTAGC